CTAATAAGGAACCGGACTACTGACGCATAAGTAACAAAGCTAGCAGTACCAAAGAAGGACAAAATTATAGTGGTGAGAAAGGATAAACGAGTCGTCTATGCATGCGACACATCACCTGTTTTCTGCAAAAAGGTCCAGGTTCTACAGAAAGAGCGTCAGATTTTTCATATTGGGGAATCTCTTAACGTGCCACGCGGATGGCTTCCTTAGAGCCAACCGCACGTCCGCTTTCTACCCCCTCCAAGACTCCAGTCCATTCTCTCCGAGCCTGTCACTCAACTGGTGCCGGGATGGGATGCTGTGACTGGCGTCGCAGGGGGCTTACGTCTAGGGGTGTTACCAATATCCCCCGTGAGTGGTATTGGTTATTTACTGCGCGGATTCTGCCCACTTATGCAGAGGCATATCCAAATTTTCAAATTATTTTAAAATCAACATGGACCAAAACCTCATTTTAAGTGATTGTATCTGGTAGTCTTCTGGTTAATTCTTGATTTTTTTTGGAAATCCTGTTTGGGCCATCAGGTAACCGTATCAGAATTAATGGATTCCATGCGCTGCAATAGGCTAGGCGGGTACCTTGACCCAAGTGTGATTACGCTCACGACTCCTGGTGGGATCTCGTCGTCCAAGCGGTTATAGCGCTGGCTGCACTGAAGCCTTCCCCATGCTGTCGTCGTTTCGAATCCCAATGAGATCACCGAGCTCTTCACTATTCATATCCGTCGAACCCCCTATGAAGAACTCGCTTAGCTGTTTCTTGAAAATTCGCAAGTACATTCATGGAACTCTAAGGGACTTCCAATCGCTCTGCCTAGTAAGAGAAATAGCTGTGCGATAGCAGATATAAGCTGTCTTCATTCATTGCCCGTGGAACTATAATAATATGTTATAGGAAGTGTCTACTACGTTAATTTTATAGGTGGTTGTACATTTAAGGCTAGTATCTTGGGCAAGGGCGCAATATGCGACCCCAATCAGGTAAAAAATATAGTTAAACGTGTCATACTGGATTGGTGGTAATAGGAGTTTGATGGGTGTAGCTATATAAAGGAAAGAAGAGCGCCAACCGAAGTCTACCCCAATCCAATTCGGTCGTAATGGTTAGCATTCTTTGCCAGGTTAGTTGGCTCGCACAGTATTTTGTTGCCCCAACATTTGTGTGGCTTACGAGGGCCGATGGCTTTACGTCGCGCCGACCGCTATGCGCGGTGTTCTTCTTACTCGACCTGATCCACTTTTTACGGACCCGGGACAAGAGCGAGAATTAGTTCTATAGTAAAATTGATGCGTTTTGCAACTACTGTGGCGTCCTAGTAGTCGCTGCTTTGAAATATGTCGATTGACCCGACAAATCGGTTCTCCAACAAGTTATTTTACGACCCTACTAATCTAGCAAGAAATACTAACCCTAACAAACAATAAATATAATGAGGGTAAGGTTGGCATGCAAGACGGTTGAATATTACACTCTGACCCATACTGTGTTTTCTGACTGGTGTCGCATATTGCGTTTTCGAAGTAGTTTTTTTGAAACGTTGCAACCGTGACGACTTATTAAACCTTTCCAGGATAATTCGTGTAGTTTTCTGTCCAATATGCACGCTGTATTGCTGTATTCTATCAGCAGCGGAAAGTCACCCTATACACTTTCTGTCTAGAACTATTACAGAACGTGCATTATGGTAAACTCGCGATTCAGTGGAAGCAACATTTAATTTCCAAACGGGCAAAGATGATTAAACTTCTGTTCCACAGAAAACCATAATTGGAAGAGGCAATTTCCTATGCTCATTGTTAGAATTTGAGTATATTTATTTTCGGTATTTATTATTTTGGACCGAACACGGGAATGGGAAACCTTCATTCCGGACTGTCGTTAGGCCGTGGATCGAGGTGAGGCTTGGCTAGGGTTAAGCCAATCGAATATTCCCGTTCCTGGAATTTAGAGCAATGTTAAGTGTGTTAGTCTGGGGAAAGTTGGTTCCGTTCCCCCTCCTTACCATGTTTTGTTTCTCATTTTTTGTATATTTAAATTTAATTTATACAGATATCGAAACTCCACAGTAAAAGACAGTCAAATTAAGTAATAACTCTGTTAAA